ATATATATATATATTATTATATCCGTATTATTACATTATTATATTATTTGCACTTTCGTTTTAGATAAATTTTAAGTAAGGAAATGAATCCAATTAAATCATATAATAAAATATTAATATAATTTTTATGTTTATTTATTAATTATTAATTCAATTTTATTCATACCTTTCCCTCTTTTTCTGCTCACAGCGACCCCTCTCACAATTAAACGGCTTAGATGGTTTGGTCACATTAAACGTTGATCATCTGATGATCCGATTAGGAGAGTAGATGTTTTATATTTGACTTATGATAAGAAAGGAAGAGGCAGACCTAGGAAGACTTGAGCTTTTTATATAATAAATTATCTAAACTTATTAGAATTAGATGAAAATATGACACTAAATAGGATGCAATGGAGAAAAATGATTCATGTTGCCGACCCCACGTAGTGGGATTAATGCTTTGTTGTTGTTGTTGTTGATGATGATGAGATTTTGATTATTAAGTGTATTTTCTATACCAATTCTGCATTACATGGAATATTTATAAGCTTTTGAAGGTAAGCTTTTTTTTATGTCAATATCACATTTCTCTTTTTTCTGGCTTGTTACATATTTTATATTCATGTTCTTTATCAATTATTATATTAATAGTGTTATAAAATAATATAGATTAAAAGTATGATTCCTTCCCCAAAAAAGATTAAAAGTTGGATTTCGATGCGAATAATAAGAAGAAATAACTGTGCTCCTATGGTTATGGGCACCATTTCTCAATCTAGTTTGGGATTGTTGAATCTGAGATTGATCTGGAAACACGCTCAAGAAATGAAACGTTCAATTAAGAGGCAATTAAGAGAGAGAGGAAGAGTGAATGAGTGGTAGTAAACAAGCAAAATATATCATTTATTCATAATATAAACATCTATATATAGGTCTAGGGTCCAATATTATAAAAGTACAAAATAGCTCCCTAATCATTAACATTTTAGGGGGGGGGGGCCTTTTTGATAACCTATAAGGTTCTTTGCATATAATAAAGCTCCAGACCTATTCGATCGATGAGGGTCGCCGAGCATCAGACAGGTCTTAGTTCGATCAATTCATGGTCCGAAGGAGTACCACCCATTGATTGTTCTAAAAGCTAATGAACGTCCCGAGAGACTTTCTTTTGTAATCTTTTGTCGATCGTTCGGGTAGGGTGTATTCTCCGCCCTGCTCATCTGAAACGATCGCCTATTGCTACGTCTTATCGGTCTTACTTATTTCATAGGTCGCCCACTGCTTTGACACTCGTGCAGACACATTTTGAAGTATACATGAATGACAGAGACGACGTTGGAATAATTATATTTAAGAAGAAAAAGTCATTCATTATAACTAAAGCCGACATTAACTAATAAATTGTTTGAATTAAATATATGTTTAAGACATACAAGTGACAATTTGGAAAGTTAATTTGATAAACTCATCTTCTTATCAATAAAGAAGTTTGAAGCAAGAGGAATTGCATTGAAATCATAAGGAAATAAAGAAGTCTTTAAGAAAATTACAAGTATACATTTCTTTATATTTCTATAAATGAATTCTATTGAAATTTTGTAATTTATATCTTTATTAATGATTTACAATCAAATTCTAACAAAATTTCCAATTTCACATGTTCAAATTGACCATTAGGTTAGATTTGTAATTTCCTAATTTTACTCGAATTCAACCGAATCTTTATTAATTCAACTTGCTAATTTCACCAAAGTTCAATTTATGTTTTAAGCATTAAATTGAATGATTATGTAACCTTTGAACATCAATTAAAACATTCAATGAATTATGGAAAGTCAATTTTCAACATTTCAAATAATTACAATTTTACCTCTACTTGCATTTTAAGTACTTTTTGAATCAAAATCCAATTCAACTAATTCATTTCAAATGTTGATTTGATCATAATTAACTTAAAATTTTAAAATTTAATTAATTGGATTTTGGAAACAAAAGGCTCAAAGTGCAAAAATACCAATTTACAAATATATCCTTATATATCCCAAAGGCTTTTATTGAATTCAAGTGAGCTAAAACCACTATTTTATTGCATGAGAACTCTTTTTTAATCATTTTCATTAATTTCCAGTGACTTTTATATTTCTTTTTCTCATTTTTTAATTAATTAATTATTTTTATTTTCAAATAAATTGTTAATTTCATAAGAAATTACAATTTATTTTTTCTTTATTCGTTTCTATCACTAAAATATTAAGAAAGCTTACAAAGGTTAGAGACTTCAAGTGAGCTTAATTTCTTTTATTTTGAATTATTTTTAATTTTAATATTTTTTTAATGTTTTAATGATTTTTATTTAATTAAAAATTATTATTGGTCATTTCATCTTGGTTTTCTTTTTATTTTATTCTCTATGTTTCACTTAGATTAGGACATTATTTATTTTACCTTTATGATTTTTATTTATGTATTTATGAATTTTCAAAGTTCTTTATGATTTATGATAAATACATGGAATTTTCCTACTTAAGGTGTTCTCTACATGAATGCCACCTCGGCCATGCCGCAACATCACTTTACATGCATCACTCCACTGTTCACGCTCGAATGATTGGCCCGTCACACTGTCCACAGACCCTGTGTGAGGAATGTTGTATGGTTTCTTTGTAGGATTAAATCACAACCATCCAATTTTAATATAAAGAAATGGACGGCACCGGTTCATCATCTCAAATGAGATGGTGAACACGAGCCATCTGCAAAAAGTCACACGATCCGTGTGATCCTATGCTCTATCCTAAGATCCTTTCTGACTAGAAGAATCTTTAAGCCTTTATAGTTCAATCCTACGGTCGAATCAGTACAATTTAGTTGTTTCTTTCAGAAAAGACCAACTACCCGAGCCATAGATCTAAGATCGTGAAATTATCTCAATCCAAGATTGGTTTCATTGATTAGATGGCTTTGGAATGATCTTCTAAGCTCCACACACCTCTCCTTGTGCTTGGATTGAGTTGATTTGGACTCCTTAATTGTTCATGATCAAGCATATCTATGGTGTGGTAAAAAATGGTGGAAGAGGACTAGAAAAAAGGGGGTCTTAGTAGAGAAAGTGGTTTTGAAGCCTAGTGAAGCGTTTGGTGAGCTTATGTTGATGAATTGTTAGAATTGGGCTTTGTCTTGACTTGAGGTTATGAAATTAGTGGAGGAACATCGAGGAATTGGACTTGGAATGGAGGGGAAAGTAAGTTAGGGATTAGAGCTAAGGTTCAGGATTGATTTTGGTAGAGCCTAACTAAAGATTGAAAGGCATGAAGATCACCTGAAACAAAAGGTATTTATAGGGATTGGCTCGGTTTGGGCTAATGTATGGCTTAGCGCACCAATTATTGGTCCCCTGATGCTACAAGGTTAAAGATGGTCATCTAATAAAAAATTGTCAAGGATGGTCAACTTTGTCGTGCGGCCAATGAAAGAACTCCACTTGTGCATTAATCTTTAGGTAGCAGTCAAGGCAAGCTATGAGGTGGTTATGCTAGCTCAAGTGCACCACTTGAGGTGGTTGTGACAGTTGAGGTTGTCTGGAGAGTGACCAATAGTGGTTTGGCATGTGGAAGAGTCAGTTAAGCCAAGAATTAGTTTAAAAAGGTGATTCTTGGTTGGCTTGAATTTGGCTTGGCATGGCTTGGATGTGGCTTTTAATTAACCCGAGATTTGGCTCATTTGGGCTTCATTTAGGTTCAAAGAAAGAGTGGCTGGAAGATGAGCCAAAGTGGATTGAGTGGTGGCTTCATTTTGGCTTAGGTAGCTTGGCTTGATTTAAGTGGGTTTGCCTTGGATTTAAGTGGAGTTGGCTAGGATTAGCAAGCAAATGGCAAGTGATTTCAAGGCTAATTTTGGGTGAGATTTGGGGTGGTTGATTGGCCAATAGGAGGGCTCAAGTTTGGTAGCTATGGTGTAGGATTGTATGTCGGGTTGAGGGGTGTGTGTGAGTGTGAAAGTTGCAATGGAATTGATTTAAATTTTGAAAATGGAAGTGATTTAAAAAAGAGGGTGATTTGTGTAGTGATTTTTAATAATTATAATGAGTGTAAGTGGTTGTAAGTGGGTTTGGACTTTTTTTTTTAAAAAAATAAATTTTGAGTGGGAGGCATAACTGGAGGTGAAGTGTGAGGTTTGGTGAGAGAATGTGAGAAATTTTTATTTTTATTATTTATTTAAAAAAAGTATTATTGTTATTTTATTGAATTTTATAAAATATTTATTCTGTCAAATTGGTGATTGGTTGTTTTTAAAAATTTTTATGTAATTTTATTTTTAAATGGATTTTTAATTTTATTTATTCAATTTTTTTCAATTAAAATTGTAATTTTAATTAGTTTCTAATATTATTATTATTATATGATTATTACTGAATTTTTTAAAATGATTTTAATATTTTGATAATTTCTTAAATTTTTATTTTCATTTTCATTTTATTATTAAATTTAAATTTTTTATTAAAATTTTAGATTTTAATGGAAATTTTGGTGAATTAATTTCCATTTAATTTAAAATTTGATTTTATATTATGTTTTTTGGTGAAATTTTGTTGGATTTAATTTTAATTTTGGTTTCAATTTATGATTTTTTTCTCTTTTATTTAAGATAAACCCTATCTTAGTTTAAAATGAACATCATAACCAAT